ACATCTAACATACTGATACAGGTTACCCCTGACAAAGCATTCAAAATATCACTTATATGAGGCAATGGATAGCAGTAAGATTCTGAGACTTGGTTTAACTTCTTATAGTCAACACAGAATCTAAAATCATTAGTCTTCTTCTTGACAATAACTACTGGAGAAGTCCAAGAAGAAGTGGAGGGTTTAATTAACCCATCCCATAGCACTTCATCCACTTGATCATGTAGCACTTGTAATTTAGTGAGAGAATAATACTAAGATTTACTAAACACTGACTTTTCTTTCATGGTTATAATACTATGTTCAGACAAGTCTGTGAAGCCAGGTTTATTGTTAAAACTATCAGCATATTTCAACACAAGTTGCTTTAATTGTTCACAGTCTTTACTCTTTAAATGTGTACATTGTACTTCTTTAATCAATATCTTTTCAGTCTAGAGTCCAGCCTAATAGATGGCACATTTAATTTAAGAACATTTGTGAAGAAGTTAAGGGTTACTTCATTTTGTTGAATGAAGTCTAATCCAATAAGACAAGATACAGCCAAATATTTGACAACAACAAAACATTGGTCCACAATGCTATTTGTTACTAATAGTTTGCTTCAAAATATCCTAATGGCTGACAGTTCAACTTTCCCTCTGCAAGACACAAGTTACCTTTACTCCAAGTTTTTAGTTGAATTGTTGATCATTTCTCTTGATTTGTTGCCATATATTTTCATTTAGTAGTGAATAATCCAACCCAGTATCTATACGACCTACTACTTTCACACCATTAATTTTTAGGTTAGGTGTGGCAGATCCATTTTAGTTGTGGTTAAATAGTTAATGGAGGGTTTTACTTTCATGGGACTCAAAACCTCCTTCTTTGATCCCAACCACTCATTTCCCGACCACTGTCCTTCATTTCTTTGTTCCCTGTTTACATATTTTATTTTCTTGGCACAATACATAGATAAGTACTCTATTTGATTACAAGTATAGCATCGCACAGGTCTATTACGATGATCAGTTTTAATTATTTCACTATTAAAAATTTATTGTTAATGCAATGCTCCTATTGTTTAGTAAATTTAAGCACATCAGTAGTAGATATATTAAGTGGCATTACAAGTATTCTCATAAAGAAACATGTTAATGTGATGTTATACACTTCACAGTTTCACTTTTTCTACCTTCAAGATTCCATAATTTATAAATTTTCACAGTTTTTCAAATAAATGCCTCAACTGACTCCCCTGCATTAACATGGTACTTCCTACTAAAGAGTTCCTTAGCCAATTCAGTATTATCTAACACTGCTGATTACAAATTAGTCAAGGTTTCTTTAAATTCTCCCCAGTGTTTGAAAGCCATTTCTGATCTGAAAGCCTTCCACCATTCTAATAGCCCTCCCCTCAAACATGAAGCCACAGTTTCCACCCATTTATTCTCAAGTATTTGATACATATAAAGAAGTCTTTCTAAACTTTTAAGAAACTCCAAGACATTAAAATTTGACTTACTGTCGAACTTCTGAACAGTCTGTGCTGATGTAAATCAATGAATTTTCCACAGGTGTGTATATAGAATGGACTCTTAACATTGGTGGTTGAGGTTGAGGGAGACTTAGGTTCTCTTGCTAGTAGATCAGTCATTGTGTGTGTTAGCATTTCCACCTGTTCTGTCAATACTGACACAGGCTGCTTAAAGTTTGGCTCACTAACTTCCATAGAAACACAGTTATTTTCAAACACCAGTTAACTTATATTTAACTGAATTTAAATTATTGCTGAATTAATCACTCTATATCAAACTGAGAAATAAAAAAAAATCCAAAGTCACTATTCAACCTTTATGAAAAAGGTCCTTACTCAGGCACCAGTGTAATGGTCTAAAATGAACATGCCACTACAATCAGAGTTCAACAACAAAAAACAATTTATTCAATAGTAACAACACTTAGAAATAAATTCAACACTTACTAAAACACAGTTAATAAACAAGTGCCTGGACAGGACTTTATATCAATATTAATGAACAGTTTATCATAAATACTAATAAATCATTTCAAATAATGGAATCAGGAAAAAGAACTAGAAAGAAAAAACCTAATTAAAAAACAAACAAACAGCAAATACAATATGCCAAAAATACCTTTCAATATCAGAACAATATTGAGTGATAAACAGCAATAATTCACTAACTGTCTCATGACTCTCTTTCTTGGTCTCATAGTGAAGCTTCTGGCAGGATATTTATTCACAATAACTACTAGTTATTAATTGTATCTGTACGTCACCACTAGGGAAGCTGGTGTCAGTTTTATCATACACACATATTTACTAAAAATAGTCCCCTGGTGGGACAGTGGTAAGTCTTCAGATTTACAACACTAAAATTAGGGGTTCAATTCCCCTCGGTGGACACAGCAGATAGCTTGATGTGGCTTTGCTATAAGAAAACACACACATACAAAGGATTATGTAGAACGTGAGTTAGTGTTTTAATGCAAGTAAAAATTCATAGATAAACTAAAAAATAGAAGAAAATAATAAATGAATGATAAACACAACCATAATAAAAAAAATTGAATTTGCTGTCTCAGATTTTTTTTATATTCCTGATAATTTTAATAATAAGTCCAACAATGTTTTATTAGTACTTTTGTTACCATGCTCCACATGGCACATGTCTAATTAGAAGTATTATTTTATCTTTTAACTGTTTTTTTCTAGCCTGATTTCGAGTATGCTGCTCAGGCAGTCATTCAGTTAGCTTTCAGCTTACATAGTGTTAGCATCACTTCTCATCTGCTTGCACATTTTCCATCGTTTTTGGTGAACTTAACCCCTGAAGATTCCTGTAATAATGGCTGGAGACGGCTTGAATGGGTAATGAAGAAAACTTTAATATAAGTTTAACATAACAGCAAATGTACAACGTTTCAACAAAGTTTTGTCATCATCAGGTAATTCCTGTAAATATGACTGCACAGGACCTCAAAATATACATTTTTGGGTTGTTTGACTTCTGACCCCATAAAATCCTTAGAAAGGTCTAAATAAAAAAAATGAAAAAGGTGTCTGGGCATGTTTAATCAAGGTAGTACCATACCAACTTTCAAGTTAATCCACCAAGAAGTGAAGGACTGGTCATTGAGTGTAAAGTGTTTGGAAGAAGAAGAAACAATAGAAAAACAGTATGTCTCTCTTTATAGACATAAAAATGAAACTCCTGTTATTGAGCATATTCAAAAAATCATCAGGCATAACTCAAATCAAATTATATCACAGCAAACCATGATTACAAGTAGAATAAACTTTCAGAGCAAAACAGAATAATTTAAATCTAATTCAACATGAACTGAGCAATTACATAAAAGAAATTACAATATATCTAATTAAAACTCCCTAGTTATTATAAGAACAAAATGATTAGGTGCAACTTAAAATCATGAAAGGTTAAAATAATGTAAACATATCTAATTGTTGGTCATGCAGTTTATCCCATCCATAATAACTGGGAGGTCAATGCCAGCATCTTGGCCAGTCATCAGAGCAAATAGATTGTTTCTTTACTGTTGCTTTCTCATCTGACTCCTCACAAACAGCCAGATATATGTACTACTAGTGTCTTCTCCATCATCAACTGAGATGAGATCATACAATATAGTATTCTCACTATCAGAGTTAATTTACTGATCTACCTCTTATTCCTAGAATAACCTGTTCTCCAGAGGCTCATCAATTGAACTTGTTAACATGTTCAATGTGCACCACACAACTGATGTAACTCATATTTCACTTCATTAAGCAGTTGGAAGACAAGATACTGACCAGTCTATTTAAAACTAAATATTTCTGCTTTGCAGGCTTAAAACATCAATCCTACCCACTTTATATTTTTGCTTTAGATACTTAAGATGGAATTTGTAGAATTCCCAAGTTTTTATCTACAAGGGTTTAATTATAAGGAATGTTGTCACCTAGCGACAGGATTATAGTTAAAGACATTATCAAGGCTGGTCAAGTGTGTGAGTGAAAGCTAATTAATAAACTTAGCCAAATTTGGCTGATGTTGCTTGGGATGTTGTCACAATTTAATGAAAGTTTGCCTGTTTTGATGATTTCTGTTGTTTCTAAATAGTTTCTTTCTTGGTTTTAGGTTGGATTAGGAGAAAAATTTTGTTTTATAAAGAATTTTGTGACCTGATTCAAATTGATGACATGTTAAAGCAGAGATCTGACACTCACCTCTATGAATATGGCCTTGGTTTTTTTGCATATTATTTCCAAGGGACATGATCATTCCCTATATGTTTCTTACGATGTTCACATTGTCACAGCACCAGAATGTTACTTTTTACTTGTCTATGGTATTTAGGTACATTGATATCCAGTATAACTGGCAACAATTTTTACAAAGTGAAGGTTCAGGACTTTCAAGTAAGTAATAAAGTGAATATGGAGAGTAGAGGAAAACAAGCAAACACACAATTCTTTGTTTCTTTATTAACTTAAAAGAGTGAGTTTAACAAAACCAGCAGTTATACTGCTATTTCTTCATATAATTTTTTTTTTGTTTTCAGAAAATAAAGTTCCTTATTTTATTCAGACTTCAACACTGTTTCTTATCTTTTTCCATACATCTGTGACACATTACAACACTCATCTTTCCACTTACTAAATCCCCAAACCTCTAGATTTGATGGAGATCAGGTAACTATTGCTTGGTTGATCCTTTAATTACCACAAATGGATCAATGTCTCTTTTGTGTTATCTATCAAACACCTTGGAAATTGAGAAAATTAAGTTTATATCCATTAATTATGATTCCAAAGGTGTTTTATGACAAATATTCATATGTAATAAAGTAAGAAGTTGATATGTTGGGTAGTTAATTTTTTTTTTTGGAAGATTTAAGTTCTTGTGTACTTCACAAGTAGTATGAATGAACAATTTCTTGAAATTTTGAACTACACCAGTGAAAGGTAAAATTACTTTCTCTGTTTGTAGATAAAGAACCAGTTGAGTTTAAGCCACTAGTAAACAGTGAAGGACAAAGTATTTGTGAATACCTAATCTCTTCTGGCTCTTGTGAAGTTTTGAGTACTGCAGTTGGGGGGATGACATCTGAACACCTTTTGTCTCTTGTGCTTTACCAACCAGCCAATAGTGTTGACAATGAATTCTGGATTGTAAAGTATCAAGGTAATTTCTTTTAAAATAACAGATGAAAGTATTGTAAGTATAAATTATATAAGATGATTAGGAAAACAGGATATTTTTTTGTGAGTGTTGGTAGTAGAGTGGTCAAAGCCCATAAAATTTGAGTTTAATGATAAATGTAGGTTAAGCTGTGGCATACCTGTTGTTTATTTTATAGAATTTTCACTCCCATTTTCAATGGTATCTGCTGTGAAGATTTATCTTTGTCAGAATATCTCAAAGTTTCAATAAAAACAAAACACCCACCCTCAAGTATCCAGCAGTATTCCACAAAGTCCTATGTTTTTGTTGACTGATTTTCTGGAATATCTGACTATAATTTTGATGATTTGTACACTACAGTAAGGACTTTTATGTTTGTACAATGATACTAGTTATTAATATTTATCTAGAACAGAACTTACTCAAAAGTTGCCATCATCATTTAGGGCTGTAGGAAGTGGTAAGGCTAGTCAGGCCATAGCCTGACCACTTTTTCATGGCATGTATAGCTACAGCTTATGTATTAAAACTTGCTTCTTGTAACTCAATACATTCTGTTGTGTGTATGCAGTATTTGTTGTTAAAATGGCTCTATATTCCATCTCATGTTATAAATTTTTCAAACATTTTTTGGGGGGTATGTCCCAGACACCCTCCAAGAAATGACATTGTGGAAATGACCTGAGCACTCCAAAATTGCTTCCTATAGCAGTGTCATTGGTGCACAATGACAATTCACTAGAGTAAGTGTTTTTTTATTGTCTTTATTTTTATAAAATCATTAATGCAGTATAAAGTTACAGTATAGCTCATTGTATAGACATTTTTCTCCCCTTTCCAAAGGTACTTGTTATACAGCTGTATCAATGTAATAACATAACCAAATATTACCCCAAAGACATCCACTTCCTTATGTGTTGTGTCCAAAATTATCAACATTATTCAAAATTGAAAAAAAACAAAAACTTTCAATTTATAGGCCTTCATTCCTGTCGAATTAAAAAAATAATTACTTAAATCTATCATTTTTTCCATAGACTAGTGGTACAAATATAAAACTAAATTATTGATTCCAGAATCTACCAGCCAATAATTAAAAGCCAATCAAAAGTGTTCTATGTATATATATATATATATATATGTGTGTGTGTGTGTATGTATGTGCATGTGTGTGTGTATAAATATTATATTTTTAACAACGTATTCTATTTAATATCACGTAATACCCACTATGTGATATATTGTGTATCACATCAGTGTATGACTTATTGACTTTTTTTTTATGCCCAGCAGTGATATGCTAGTTTAATATATTTACATATATGAAACCAATTAATTATACTTGTACATTGATATTTTTGGATGACCATTAACTTTTTATTGACTAACATGTAATATTTCAGAAAGAACCAATATGTAACAACATGTTCATTGGAAAATATTAATTAGATTCTGATGTTATTTATTGCACACAGTAGACTATTCTTATCAGGTAAAATAATTTCAAGAAAAATATAACATTCAACATCTTAGTAGCAAAATTATTTTGGAGTTTGGTAATAATAATAATAATAATAATAATAATTACATATTAAGATTTGTTATTTTGTGACACTGTAATAAGAATACTTATACTAAACACAAAACTTACATACGTATAAAGCACATAATCTTCTTAAATGTCTCAATAGATTTCCAAAGAATTTTGAGTAAATGAAGTATTCACTTAAACATATTTATTAATTTTAAACATATTAGTCGTGAGTAAGAGACATTAGAGTACTAATACATTAGATATGAAAGATTTTTAAAAAACATATTACCAGACATTAGGTTATGTTTTTGATATTATCCATTGTAGACAGACACAATATTCTGTCATTTATTTATGTTTTGACCATTAAAAAGTTACCACAATCCCATGTGAGGGAATATTTACAAAACAAAAAGATACCTTAAGCATTCCTTGGGTGAATAGTTCTTGAACAAGTTGAAATTTCTCCTTGCTACACTATTATCACTTTCCGATAGGTACTTCCTACTTCTCACAAAATTAGCTTTTCTCATTTTGTGCTACCCCTATATGCAAACTTTTTTAGAAATTCATGTCACAAGCCTTTATCATCCCTCTGTTGGAATGCATAGTTCCAACACATCTCTTATGCAAACCATCATGCGTCACCTCTACACCAATAGGAGAGCACTATTATCACGTGACTCATGTATCTCTCTCTACGTGCCACTACTGGATGATCATTTCTTGTTTGGCAGCAGTTGAGTTCAGATATTCTTTCTACATTGTTCAGTTACCTTGAACTGGTTTATTTTTTAATTTTTCATATTTTTCTTAACTTCATTTACTACACTTCAGAGTTGTGGAGTTAATATTTTATTAAAGCGTTACTTCCTCATATTTGCCAGTTTTTCCCGCTTATGAATTCCGAAGTTACAGTTACCACCTCAGGTACTTAGCCAACATCTGATGCAGTATTTTCAGCCACGGGCGCGAGCGACCCGTGGGTGGATATATCGTTGCTTATGAGCCAACCTCTATCGCCTACTTCTGCCCCATTTTCTCCTGAGCCTTTCGAGCCGGGCCAGTCTGCAGACGATTTTGTTCATTTGTTCCTCCATCCTCCCATCCCCGGAGTTTGCCGTGCATTCTCATTCACTACCTGATGATTCAGCTCTTTCGTCATCAGTCTTTTCAGACTTTATCTCTCTGGTATGTAATGTTTTGTCTTTTACACCTATTTCCTATGACCCTAGACCTTCCCTCTTACATAAAACAACTTCCTGCCCCTATTAATCTTTCCCCCATCCCCCAGATGTGTTCCACAAGGATGGCTATAACCATTCGGTTCAGAGCAGGGCGGTAGTGTTCTGCCAGTATAGAGAGAGTTACAAGATCCTCTTGATCTGCAACTAATTCTCGGAGTTGAGATGCCCAAATGCAGTTCAACTCTCCAATTGGGTGCCCTCCTTCTATCCTCTCATGCATGTCGGAATCCAGCGAGTGAGGTTTTGGAGATCGAGTGAACCAATCATGTAAGTCCTCACACAGGTTTCAGGTTGTCCATCTTCCTCTCTTGACTTGTCTTTTGTGTTGTGGGTTGCAGAAAGTCTACGTAACATGTTTCCACTTCTGTCCTGGGTTTTCCCTTGTTATTACCAACCAAGGGTCTTTTAGGGCTGGTTTCACAGTCACGGGGGTTGAGTGCATGCAATGGACTTCCCTTGGATTCCGGATGACACATTCCAGGATCCCTGGCATTAAGCTACCGTGTGAGTTCCTGGAGTTGAATGCTAGATTCCTTCTTGACTCTGGGACTTGAGGTGAAGATGGTATGATTCTCATCCTACCTTCACTGGGATGTCAGTACCTAGCAAGCGAGGTTTTGGATGTAGTTGAGTTACCAAGATGGTCCATCATGCCCTACCCACTCTACACCATGGGACACATCCTCACCTGCTCCCACTTTCCATTGTGGGATTGAGTGATTCTGATTTCTCTTTAAGATCATATTGCTAAACTATCTTCTCCCACAAGGATGTGCTTCCTTCATGTCCCACCATGTCTGGTCCTACTGATCATGTCGATGTTCCTGATGAAGAGATATCTGGCTCAGATGTGGTATGGTGCCCCTCCTCAGATCATCTAATCTGTTCCTCTCATTTTGGAGGTTACACCTGTGCTTCTCTTGTACTGGTCTCTCCTCCATTTCAATATGGGATTCAAGCTAATCTTGTGATCAGAGGAAGAGTACCTTATCAGAAGCTATAATTTTCTTAAATGAAAATGTATTTTCGATAAGTACTTCCATCCGCTTACACTTCCAACCAATCCTTCCCACAATCTTCCGGTGCTCGCGTTTTCTGCCAAACTGATAGTTCGGTAGTAGTGCGTAGAGGGAGTCACATGCGTCGTGTCATAGTAGTGCTCTCCTATTGGTAGAGAGGTGACGCATGATGGTTTGCATGAGAGATGTGTTGGAACTTTGGATTCCAACAAAGGGATGATGAAGGCTTGTGGCATACGTTTCTAAACAAGTTTGCATACAGAGGGCAGCACAAAACGAGAAAAGATAATGTTGTGAGGAGAGGGAAGTACCTATTGGAAATATATTTTTATTTAGGAAAATTATAACTTCTATAGCTGCCCTAAAAATGTGATGAATGACACAATTGTGATAAAATGTGTGAAGTTTGTATGTAAGAGGTATTTTAATGTTTTAAGGTTTAAACTATATACATAAATTTTGATAAATAAGAATTATATCAAGTTTATTTGCTAAACTTATACTGTTGGCAAAAGTTTTGATATTACAAGAAAGGAGCACTGTAGTTCCTGATAATGTCACAGTTTGGTGCTCTTGAGAATTGGCTACAAAATTGATATGTTCAGACATAGATACATCTCCACAACAGGCAGGAAAGGCAGAAAAAGTTCTATAATTAAACTATGCTGTAACTTTATACATGTTAAAATACATGTTAAACTTGAAAAATATAACACTTCACATGGCCTATAGATGCTGAATGCTTATAAATAGGAGAAAATTGCTGATGAATATTCAATATCTATCTGAAAGTAGCAGCAATATATCTTTTTATACAATAGGTAGCATTAAAACTTAGCAGTTACCAATTGCAAGTTAGACTGCTTATAGACAGTGTACTATGAGCAAGTCCTAAACAAAAGAGAGTGAAATGGTTGTGCTCATACCACCGATAAAAAAAATATGTTTAATAATGATTTTTCATGGGTGGGTCACAAGGTTCAAGACTAGCCAAATAAGTATCAGAAAAGAAATGAGCTAAAATCAGGCTTACTTTAAACTGTAGAACATGAAGAAAAGTGGGAAGCTAGTAAAAACTGTATTGGTAACATTTTGGGCTACCATCCTTTTTCAGACCTAACTCCTGAGTGTTGAAAGATTGAAAGCTACAAGAATTTAAACTGTAAATTATATAAAGAATGTCATAAGCATTAGTGTGTTAAACAATGATGTGCAGGCCTATGAACTTAATACAATCTTATAGAAAACAATAGGTAGAATGTTAAAAAATATAACACTTCTGCATTATTTGAAGGTTTTTTATTAGATCAACTGGTATGATTTATTGTTTTAAAGTAACTGAATAAATAAAGCAAATGAAATATTAATAGAAATTTGGCATGTTTAATGTAGGGATGTGAACATTGTAATGTATTAAATTTATTGAAAGTAAAAGCATTCATTTAGGCCTTTTGTGTGGATAGTCCTCTATTTATGAACTTGATTTGTGTTTCTTTATAACAACAGTTACCTGATAATGGCCACACAAGTAGTCAAAACATTGTAATATAGTTAAACAAAAAATATAAACAATTCACTCAAAAACTGTACCTCTGGACTTTTATTTAAAACAAACATTTATTTCAAACTTATAAAAGAAGCAGTTACAAAAATTATTGCTCATAAGTTCTTATAAAAATTCATGTTAGATTAACTTTATTACCTTTCATATACAATTCTTTGAATTAACTTTTTACATCTCATAAACACTTCTTTAAATTAAATTAACTTTTATTACTTCTCATGAATACTTTAATCTGTTTTAGTACTTGTACTCAATATTTTAGTTCCCTATAACATTCTTAATTACATTCTGCAAATTTAAATCATAGATAATTTACTTATAGAAGAACTGAACATCATTTCATTTTGGTAACTTGAGGTGATGCAGAACCTCTAGCAGGAGGAGGGTGTGAATTAAGGCTAATTTTGGCTGACTTGAATGATAACTAACTAGTGTCCTAAGTCTATTTCCATCAAACTAAACTAGTAATCTTGTGAGTAGGGCAATGCACAATGCATCTAATGAGCTTCCAACAAAGGGTTCATTGTGATTATCATACAGACTTCTCTATTTGGAATCAGATGATATACTTGGTCTTCAAATGTTTAATCTTGTGTCTACTTGATTGATCACTTTTAAAGTGTTCAATGCTAACTTGTCTGGGATTTGATTATAATTTTCTTTTTGGATTTCCAGGAGATACAGAACAATGGGAGGTGATCAATAGAATTCCAAACAAACTGTGCCCAAGTTCTGTGAGTGACAACTATGAGATTGTTACGTACAATTCAACCAAAGATTGTAATATTACAGTTATTCTAAAGGGAATTAGCTTCACTGCACTTCCTGCCCTACATATATATTTGTATGGAACTCATTTCATTCACAGGTAAGAACTTGGATAACCCAAATTCTACTCATAAAGGGATATTACCTTTATAAAGTCATGTTAGTATGTGAGTGACAACTATGAGATTGTTACGTATAATTCAACCAAAGATTGTATTATTACAGTTATTTTAAAGGGAATTAGCTTTACTGCTCTTTCTGCCCTACATATATATATTTGTATGGAAGTCATTTCCTTCACAGGTAAGGACTTGGATAACCCAATTTCTACTCATAAAGGGATATTACCATTATAAAGTCATGTTTCTATGCCCTCAAATTCTAATCAGAAAGGGATATTACCAACATAAAGTCATATGTGTATGCACTCAAAATTCTTTTATTATTTTATGTCTACACTTTGTAAACATTCTGAGTTTACCTAGAATATGGTATTGTAGCATACAAATACCAAACCTTTCACTTTCCCATAGTATTTATATTTCATGTCTACAAATGTTTCTAAGTTATAACTTGGAACATGCTAAATTCAGCTTCCATTCAGAGAAGTTGTCTGCTTCATGGGATACTTGTATTGAATCTTGTTTTTTAGTATTGAAGATTGCTTCATGACTGCCACATGGAGCAGAGATATTTCTGGATTCTTGTGATCTAGCTTTCTGATAGGTCAACTACAGAGAAAATGTGAATTATGAATTCAGAGAGCTTTATTTCTGGTTTAAAGAAGTAAAGACTTTCTCTGAAAAACTGACTTTTGTTTGCTACTAATCATGTGTTTATCATTCTTCAAATGTCTAATACCAATAGTTTTAATCTCAATTATAAGTATAGTTTATTTCAGTTTTGCTGTAAATTTGCAAATATCAATGCAAATGTCCTCCACTTCCTTAATTCACTTAATAAAGTTTTTATGTATGCTTTAGCCTCACATCAAGTTCTTGTATATTTTATTCCACCACTAAAGTTCACAATACCTTTCCTTCTATATATATTTTCTTCATGTATGTAGTTATTACAGAGATGTGTGTTACATTTACCCCTGAATTACTACAGCTAACTTTGACTGAACATATTTTGGTGCTATCAACCAGTATCCAGCTATGGAATGATATGCAAAAAGAAAGGACCACAAAGATATAAATTCTGATATGATACCTTACCTTCTCTCACATAATAGCTTTTCTCATTCAGTGCTGATTTCAATATGTGCAGTTTTCACTTGCCACTAGTCTTGATACTTGTACCTACCGCCATATGATTACACGTGGTACAGAGATGTAACATGCAAGTAAGCATGCAACAGCCCTCCACCAATAGGAAAGTGATACACCCTCCTGGTGCAGCTGATACCCTCTATACTGTAGAACCTAATCTTCACTTCTCAATTTGGCATACTAGAGTGCAGAGATATATAATTTTTGCTCATGTTTGCTTAATTTTTTTTTCTTGATTTTCAAAAATTTTGTGGACCAACTATTTTCATTGTTTCCAACTTATTAATTTTTATTCCCTACATTAACTTGATACTGTAGGTTGATCTGAAAATTCCTACTCTCAGTTTGAATTATGAATTCACAGTTTCAAGTTACAACAACTACTACTGTTGTACTATTGCTACTCAACCTCAACCTACAGTTTTCAGGCTTTGGGCTCCACTCTATCTGCTGAGGAGGTTTCAGTCTTAGTTCCCTGTGAGTTGAAGTCCACCATGTGGTGTGCTGTGTCTCCTTACTCAAGACCAAACATACCATTTCCTGAGGAACCTGGTCAGAATGACAAGGATTTGTATAGCCTGTTCCCACCTCCTCTTTTCCCCATCTTTCTCGATATAGTGTCCCAGGTACATTACCTTTTGTCTGTCTCCCCTATGCCTTATGATTCCTCTCCTTCAAGGCTGCATGCAATTCCTTCCTTGGATTACCTTGTTTTCCCACCCTTTCCAAATATCAGGGTCCATGCTGATCAGTTTCCAGCACAATTACGTTCTGGGATCAGCATACCTTGTCCCCCTCATGCCTCTGATTCCTGCACATTAGCATATCATCATTTGAAATTTCCTTTACTAAACTCATAGAACTTAAAGTCCTTGATTCAGTTGTGGGTATCTGACTCTCATACCACTGTGAGGTTTTTCCAGGCTCAATTTTTCCATCTCTGTTGACCCTCACCACATTCCCATATTACATTTCCTTTGCCCAATTCCTATCCAAGGTTATCCACTGTTCTCTTGAGGGTTTTTTGGCATATACTTTCTCCCTCCTGTTTTAACATTGGCATGCTTCTCTTCCTCTGCTCTTTCCCTACAAACTTGGTTCCTCTGTTCTTGAAATCTCCTGGGTAGGGGCATGCTTTTAGCTCACATGCATGCACCTGCCCATTTCATATTTGCATGACCATTGTATGGCTCCATTTTTACACCAGTTGGTCTTTGGAGGTCTTCCCAACTCTTTGGAGTCCAGAGTGGAGGCTGCTTATCAACACTCTTCCCTTTCCTCCTTGGTCTCTTGTTTTTTGCAGTTTTTGCCTGTTCCTGTATCTTGTCCTCCTCTTTTCTCCCCTTTGCTTATCCATTTCTCCTGGGTATTGATAGTTAGCCATCTGATTGCTCATTGCCAGGTCTCTCACTGTGTATGGCCAAGTTCGTTCACCTATGGAGTTATTTCACTATGTATCCGTGGGTGCTTCGGGTGTTATCTGAAGGATTCTACCATTATTTCCTAATCCCACCTCCATTATCCCCACTTCCCATTCCCTTTCTTCCTCCTTGGGATCCACTTTCCTGCCAGCATCTATTTGAAGCAATTCTAGATCTTCATCACAAGAATGCTATCAAACCCATTTGTCACCCTTCTCTGGGGTTCTATTCACAGTTGTTTATAGTTCCCAAGAAGACAAGGGACTGGGGTCCTCTCATAGATCTCCCTAATTTCAACAATTTTATTAACTTTCGTTTTTCACCATGGAGTCTTTCCTCACTCTTCAGTGGGCATTTACTCTGGGTCTTTGGATGATACAGGTAGACATTTTAGATTCTTACCTTCACATTCCTATTCCTTGACATCCAGACAATACCTTTTTTCTTGTCTACAAAGGTCAAGTAGATCAATCCTGTGCTCTTTCTTGTTGTCTGGCCTTCGTACCCTATATATTCTGTCATATTCTTTGTTTGTCTTCTTCATTCTCATGGTCTGACGTTTCAACATTATATGGATGACTGATGTCTTTTAGCTCCATTCCAACAAACATCTCATATACATGCACACACATTTACTTCTTCAAGAGACTGCTCATGTGGGTTGACTGATCATGTTGGAGAAGTCTTTTCTCATCCTGACCTAGTACCTTATCCATTTGGGAGTGTTCTTCAATTCCTATCTCAGTTTGGCTCAACCTTATCCTTTCTGGTTGAGATCGATAGAACTATTAGCTCTAAAAGCTTAATCCTCTTCTTCTCTCACTTCACGTTGCATTCTATTTTTTTGGGGACTTGGGCTTCCATGGAAGCCCTCATTTCCTTGGGTTGTGCTCACATATATGCTTTTCAGTGAGCATTGCACTATCTATTGAATCATACTCGTGATCCCTTGGACTCTATTATCCTTCTCCCTCCCTCATTCCATGTTGACTTAGCCTGGTGGCTCGACAAGGACAACACCACAACTGGTGTTCCACTTCTGCCTCCCCATCCCAAGTTGCATCTTTTTACAGACAATTCTCTGATGGGTTGGGGGCATTCATTGATTCCTGGGAGAATGCAGGTCTTTGATCGAATTGGCTCTGCACATCAATATTTTGGAGCTGCTTGCTGTTCATCAAGCTTTGATTGTTTCCTACCTTTGGTATAAGGTATATTGGTTATGATCCATTCCAACAATTTGGCCGTTGTCTTTTACATCAATTGACAAAGGAGCACCCATTTATGTTTGGTTTGTTTACAAATGTTGTTACTCCCCTTCTGGGCCCATTCCTATCACATACACCTACTGGCATATCATGTCTTGAGTGCTCTGAATCTTGTTGCAGATCGCTTGTCTTGTCCTGACAAGATTCTCCTCATGAAGTGGTCCCTAGATCTCCAGGTGTTTCAGTGGTTGTATACACAGTGAGGTACTCCACTTCTTGGACACATTTGCCACCTGCCTCAGTTCCAAACTACCTCTCTTTTGGTCCCCTGTTTTATATTTTTTGGCTTTGGTGATTGATGCCTGCAGTCAGGATTGGTACAACCTTTACCTTTATGCCAAACCTCCTATCCATCTCCTACCCCAGAGTTTTATCCCTGATCCAAACCACTCTGTGTTGAGTCCTTCTCATTGCCTGTCTGTCATTGCTGGTTATTGGGTAGCCTTATCCAATACCTTATATTTTTTTCTCCATTCCCTTAACAGTCTTTTTCCTCTCATTTTTTGTTTTGCTCCTTTTCACTCTTTCTCTGGCTGCCCACTTTCTTCACCCATTGTAAGAGATCATCCTGGCTGACGTGTGGACTACACCACACACCTTCATCACTCAATAACTTCATCGTGTGTCCATCTCTTTCTACTTCAGATACAGAATACTATCAATTTCCATTCTATGCACCTCAGTTCAACAGTGAGTGGATAAGCCTTTTTCTATTTCTTTATTTCCAATACAGCGTCACATTTTACAAATTGGATCCCACTCTGTGGTTAGTGGTGCCCATCCATGTGTACTAATTTATAAGTTCCCACTGTATGACCATTAAGATCTATAACACTCACTGTTGAGATGAGGTGTTCTACAAGACTACTAAAGGTTTCCTTGCAGTGTTTTTGTTCATGTGGCTGGTAGGGACCCTCCTCGTATGATGAACTGGATGATAAATTCCCAATTTTTCCAGGTTTTTGACTGGAGTTGACTCACCATATTGCATCCCACCTTCTTACCATCACCCAGATGTTGAGTTCCAGGTGGCCTGGTGTTGGTTGTGCACTGGGTCTACACATGTGTGTTCTGACCAGGATGGTGGGACTGGAAGCTTTTTTCCATTCTGCTTCCTCGTCTTGAAGAGAAAATGGTAGGGACCTTCCTCCTACCCTGGACCGGATAATAAATGCTGTATGCCACCTGGTTTTGTACTGGAGTTGACCCACCAAAATACGATCTGACTCACCCCAGCCATTTTACACCATTTAGTGCATCCAATTACATTTTGGATATGTGTCCTTTTACCTGACTTTAGCAACACGTAACTTCACAAAGGGCAAAAAGTATACCTGATACAGGTGTGATGTGGTCTCAGACAGGTGTGTCCCTCTTCACTCATATTTCACACTCCATTGGTTTTTTTTCAAACGCTTTCCAAAGGGTGCTCATCTAGATAAATTTTGCACTCATTCCTTCACCAGTTCAACGTGGTATTCTAGCTATTATGTGAGAAGAGGTAAGGTATCATATTGGATGTTAAGATTTTTATTACCAATAGATACCTCTACTCACACTTCCCATTCATCCTCCCCACTTCTGCTCCTTCTTTTTTTTGACTAATCTTGAGATGAAGGTTGGGTTCTATGATCTAGAAGGAGTTAGCTGTGCCAGGAGGATGTGTCACATTCCTATTTGTGGAGGGCTGTCACATGCTTATTTGCATGCTCCATTGTAAATGTACCATGTGTAAACACCCAGGGGTAGGTGGGAGTATCATGGCTAGTGGTGAACAAAATTGTGCATTATAGAGGGCAGCACTGAATGAGAAAAGCTATTATGTTCATATTTATTTTATCTACAGTATCAGTCTTTTATTCTGTGCTGTTAAGGTCATATTTAAATTATCTTTTTCCATTATGCATAATATGTGTATTACTTATTGTGATTTATTATGTTGCAGCAGTATTTTACTTTTGAATTATTAACAAATTTCCATAATTTTTAATTGCATGTAACATTGAAAGTTTAAGAAAAATGTTGTGGTAGTCATAGCTAAAATGAATATGTATTCATCCATTTATTAGTTTTGTTGTGATTAAAATCTTTACAGAAAATTTTCGATTGCAGCTTATAGACATTTATAGATTGCAATGTAACTTAAACCTAGTTATTTCAATAGTATCGATGCAGGTAAGACTCTCTTCGTCCTGACAGATTTTTACTCAAAAACATTGATCAGTGTCTTGACTTTTTCTTCTGAAGGCTACCTAGGATTTATAACTGAAGACAGTCAGGTAACTTAGAATTAATATTGGATTTTCAAAATGACCTTTAATGGTAGAAAAAGTACATAGGTTTTGAAATAGAAAATATCATAGAATAAACTTACTCTCTGAAAGAGAAGTTACATTCCTACTATAAATACTCTGGATTGGATATATATATATATATATATTTATGTGTGTGTTTTTCAGAAATCTATTTACCTAATATTAATTGTTTCATTTTTGATCATAGAATATTGTCTAATCTACACATTTATGAAAGTGAGATTTGAAAAAAAAAGGATTACAATATTTCTTTTGAACTGGAAGAAAACTAGTTGAAATTGGAAGAATTTCTGGAAATGTGTTCATTGTTGCCATGTTGCACTTTCATATTTTTATCTAAGAAAGTTTAATTTTGAATTTTCTTTAGCCTTTGTGAAGATATTTATTTTTTTTTGTTTTCTCACTCAAATACAAATGTCTCCTGCACAATGAACTTTATTAAAGTTTCTATAATTTTTGAGACTTATGACCCTTTATGAGCATTCCGTCTGTGCCATTGGATTGTCTAGTTTCTCCCCATTTCATGGTTTTCCAGGTTAGGTGCACACTAGACCATCCTCATTCAAACCTGTATGCACTTCACCCACTTGAAGGTTCAGACAAGTATTCAGGGTTTTTTGAAAGTGCATACTTGCAATTAGAAGTTCAGTCATGTGCATTTAGTAAGGTATATGCATGCTGCTTATTGTAGTAGTGAGTCACTCTAATGGTAATTTTGTCATTTTTCAAAAGACAAAACATCAGGAAAATGAAGTAATGCTTGTGAAAGTTTTTCTGTATGAATAAAGGAAAAATATTTAAGATAACATTTACTTTGTAACAGAAATGTCAGGTGTCATGAATTAAAATAGAGTTCATGGGCAAAACATCTACATTACAAAGAACTTTTTCCAAAGCAATTATTACACTAATTTTAACCCTTTTTGTATATATATGAAGTAAATATTGATTGTCCAGCACATGAAAAAATATGACACTGAATATGTTCCATTTGTAATGAATAAGATGAAACTCTTCACTATTTGTGTTTGTTTAGATTTTGTAACAACCAAATAAATATTTGGTATTGTTTTACATTTAATTAGTGAGCACAAGTTTTTGTATTCTTGCATATTCCATTTCAAGTATCAGTAAATTTATTAGTGTTTTTTTTATTTCTTTGGGGAAAAAATAATTTCAAATGCTCAAAGTGTTTTCTTATGATAAGTCTTGACAAGATATATTGTATATCTTCTAAACTTGATTTATTTCTCTACTTGTATCAATATCATTCTAAATTAGTTACCTGGATTTTGAATTATTAAAAATAACTTGCAATTATGAGTACTGAATATGTGTGGCTATGTGCCATGGCTCTGCTTTGTATCACTGGAGTTCCAATATCAAACCTTAACAAGCTTAGGATTGATATTTTGGCACATATCCAGTATGAAGGGGGTTCTCTCAAAATGCTTCTGTTTCTTTATACAACAATATAGGCACAGATAAGTTCAGTACATTTATGCCTTAAAACCAAGATATCTATATCTCTAGTTTATAATTGATGACCAGTGGAGGCACCCAAATGAAGGGATTGACTATCACAATTATAAAGCCCCCACAGCTAAAAGTGTAGGGCATGTTCAACCAATAATTTGTTTTACGAATGATGAACTTTTCAATACACAACCCAATATACTAAGCACTAGGTCACACCTGACCTGTATATATAACCTAGTTGAGAAGGCTTTATGGTTGAGAAGAGAGTAGATGTGTGTGAAATAACTGCCAAACCAACAAATAGAATAACATTTAAAATAACCATTTTCATTCATTGTTGGAGAATTAGGTGCAGTCTATCAATAAAGAATGAAGAGAGCTGAAAAAAAAGATCTAAGTGTTGTGGTGGATTGGATTCAGGTATTTTCAAAAGCACATTAGTTTCCAAGTTAACATGAATAATCCTGTTAATAATATCAGGTGATGTAGAACAGAATCTTGGATCTCCAGAAAAAAGTGAACAAAGAAATGTGGAAGAAAAAGGAGTAAGTATGTATAAAAAAATTAACACTGTGAATAATAAAACACCTGAACTTGATCACATTCCATGAAGCAATGTGGCAAGTTACTTAATCTTTGAAGGTGCAAGGCAGTTGTCAAGAATAGGTATGGATGTTAATGCATTTGCTGTCACTACAGGAATTGAAAATTAAATTAAGCTGATAAATTTGATGATCAAAGGTTTGTTTCTGTAATACAGAAACTACAAAATAAATGGAAGTATAAGTGAAGTAAAATAGGAATTTACAAATGAAATTGAAGGAAAAAAGGAATTAAAAGGTTATGAAAAGAAATAAATGACTTTGAACAAACATTTTAAAATATTGAATGTAAAATTAAAATAGTGCTATACATCACTGTTCATTTGAAGTTTAATACAATTGCATTATTTAGTAAAAGTGAAGTTAGACTGTGTTTGAGTTTAGCTATAGCATGTGATATCTAAAGTGAGTTTCACAACTTGTATTTTAATAACAGAGATAGAGTAGAAGAATTTGTCTTGTCAAATGGTATTCTAAAGTAATTGAACCCATCTTTGCAGACTCTTTAGGAAAAGAGACAATTATTTAAAGCTCTTGATACAACTGAGGTGATTAACTGTGTAATGAACATTTGTTTATATGTTTGACTTGTTTTGAATATATTATTTTAAAATGAGTAGATTGTGTGCTGTCCATTTATTGTTGAAATTTATTGCCAACAAGTTACAGACACCTACTGTAAAGAATCCTGTCCACACTCATACCTAAAAATCTGACAGTGCTGAAAGAAAATGAATTACTTGTAGACTAGAGGATCAAAGTAGAAAAATTAATTTGAATTTTTGGGGAGTAAAGAAAGAAGAAAAAGAAAAAATTTGTGAAGATAGAATAAAAAAATATACACTAGTTACTTAATTGAACTTTATAATGGAAGACATTGAGAAAACAAAAACTGAATGAGTACATTAAAATTGGGGGTAAAAAAATGAGAGATCATGAATCATTGTGAAGTTTCTAAGGGTAGATGATAGACAAGTATGGATTCTGTTAGAAATAAGCAAAGCAATAAAAAAAAGTTCTTAAATGAGAGTTTACAAAAACTACAGTTGTGAGTCTAGACATGTCAAGAGAGAAAATGATTGAACTCAGAAAAGAAGTAAATTTGGACTCTAAAGTATGATGAAATTATTGTTAAAGATAAAAGATGTGAAACTCAGTATATATATATATATATATATACATAGTTAGTAAATTAAGTAAATAATGTTACTTAATGATGGATATATATATATATATATATATATGAATTTAAGTTAGGAAATTGGTCATGGTACAGAGGTTATATTTTGTGGAACTTTGAAGGACTGAATAGTCATTGCCAATTATTGAATTTTATCAAGAAATATGATAAAACATGGGATGTGGAAATGATAGTAAATACTCAGTAGAGGGTTATGAATGTTACATGGGTACAGGCTATTAAGTTTAGTGTATTTGGTAGAACTTCAGGAGGTATAATCATGTATGTAAAAATTATTTAGCTAGGGATCATAACTGGCTAGTTCAAAATTATCAGTTAGGTGTTATATTACCTTTGAATGCATCTCAAAACAAGAAGGTTATACTATTATTTTGTTATGTTCCACCATCTGGTGCAGAAATATACAATTACTATGAAAGCAGAAATAGGATTGAAATTTTAAAAGAAAAAAGTAATAAAATTAAAAAATAAAGTATAATAACCTGGGATGCTAATTATAGGAGATTTAAATGCAAGAAAAGAAACAATGGAAGAGATGTCTATTTTTGAATGTGTACAAACAATGAATTATATGTTTGTAATGGTAGAATCCTATGAGACAGTAAAGGTGAATTGACTTTATAAATAAAGATACTTTTCAAACATACTTGTAGAAATAAAAACAATTACATCAAAATTAAATTAAAGAAAATTTCACATTAATTTAAGTAATCTCAACCTGTTTTGTTCTACAATAAAGAATGTTGGAAATATATCATCAATAAGAAGGAACAACATTAGTTCAGATAAGTGGTTTTAAATATTATGGAATTTATTAAGATTTGATAATAAGAATAAATACATGGATGAGGTGTTTTTTATTAAAAAAAACAGTGTGTCAGGTTTTATATATGGACCAGATTCTTTAAAGTAGATGTCTGTTACTTGTTGGTGATACATTTCAACAATAAACAAGCAGCACACAGTCCACTTATTTAAAAATAATATATTAAAACAAGTCAAACATGTATACAAATGTTTGTTACACCACATTTGTATCCAGAGCTTTAAATAATTGTCTCTTTTTTTTTGTCAAAGTCCACACAGGCTAGTTCAGTTACTTTGGAACACAATTTGACAAGATGAATTGTTCTTCTCTGTTCTGTTATTACAATACAAGCTGTGATAATTTCACATTAAAAATTGTCACTATACTCTCTTTATGGCTAAACTCAACATCACACAGTTTAGATCTGTGTATTTATAGCCCAATAGAGGCCTAGAATTTTCCACACACTACAAGATATTAGGATGCAATAATACTCAGTTAAAACAATGAGAAAACTTAGGTTCTAGTAACATGATGCAATAATATAACAATCACCAATTCACAACGTATGATTCATAAACAGTTACGTAAAGAAACTTGCAATAAACTATTACTTCTAAAAACAACTAAATTTAACTCTTATGCTATATAACTATCTAAGTTATAACTAAATTATATAAACTTGAATTGAAATAGTCGTGTAAGTGTAACACAAAGAGGTAATTAGAATAGATGGTACAGAAACTTTTTTTGAGAGGAATGAGATCTTAAACAGTCTAGTAGTGATAGAAGTAGTTCAAAAAACGATTGAAAGTTTACTGAACAGAAAAGTACCTGGTATTGATGGGATGACTAGCAAAATATTGAACATTAA